TGTGTCTGTCAAGACAAAAATAGTAATGGATACAGTTTCCTTTTAAAATATACAAAGACACTTTATGAGAGTTCTATATTCCACTATGGGTTCAAGATGAGACCAGACAATATTTTATAATGAGGGTTGGAACGGTAAAAAATAGTAATTGAGTAAAAAAGAATAACTTCGTCCCATACTTCCCATTAAAATAAAAATATATATATATCCTACCCTCATTTTTGGCACAAAGTCAAATTAATATACAGTCATGTAACATGACCTTATTTTCAACAACTTTCTAGAGGAATGGGGTAGATGGCTCTCATTTGAAAGAAAAAAAGGTAATTTTCTTTTCTTTCTATTTTAACGTGTTTTTGGATTAAATAGCATGCAACTTGAAATGTATAAAGATTGGGTTTAAATAAAAAATATGAGGCAGGTTTCCTTTCAACAATGCAGGAAGATAAAGGGTTTCTATGATCACTTCTGTACAAACATGGAAAATTAGTTTTTTTTTTTTTACATATACCTCTGTTGAATTAGAAAAAAATAACATTTCTGATATTGTAAGAAGGCTTGAAATTCCACAGAAAGTATATTGGATCACGCTTTGTTCAGTCAGTCAATTTGATGTTTTTTTAATCGAGATATTTTTCCCCCATTTTTCATTAAAATTTGACAATTTTGGTATAATTTTACTTTTTTACAATAAGATAAAGCAAGTTCTTTTTATTGATTTTCTTGTAAAAGCCCATACTTTTTTTAAATAAAATTTTGCCAACAGACTTGAATCCCCCCCCCCTCCAAAAAAAAAAATCAGAAAGCTAGAAGTTCACGAGATATATTTTAGCCATGGAGCCGCGTTAATTTTGCATCCATTATAAAAAAAAAATAATCGCCGTGAAACCCGAAGTGGTAGTTAAATGTTTGAAAAAAATCCAAGCTTTGACATTTAAGAAGAACACGCAACCAACATTAAATATTCATCATTCCATTAAAACTTACTACGTATATAACAATGTCAATCTCTCCGTGAAGTCCAATCGAATGTACTTCTAGGGAAAACTTGAAATAAAAGCGAGTTTGACTAAGGAATATGAATGATGCATACCAATATAGGAACTAGCCAGTTAGAAAATGACCTTCGGTGTAGTTTAAATAGTCCGAGATATATAAGGAGTGTTCAGGAAGGTTCTTACTTGTAAGAGAAAAGAAAAAAATCATATTTATAAGGAATTCGAGCAACGTCAGGGAATGTAGATTGATAGAGCTAGGAGCTCTACGGCAAAATCAGCCACAGCTAACAATTCTGTATGAAATTTCTATCTGATGTGCTTGTCTTTTTTTTTTCAAAAGAACATTAAATTGTACGAAGTTGTCGATTATGGTGGAATCTTGTATTTCAGGTGAGTTAAAAATGACCACAAAATCGTTTATATCTCCACAAATATTAAAATTCCAGACAATTATTACTACTAGCAAAAAGAATTCGCTGATTTATCATATATACCGTATCAGAATTTTTAGCGAGGATCTAATTTTCGCATTATAAGCAAGGTTACTGAGTTACTAGGTTACTAAAAAATAATTGCGTTTAATTGTGCTAGGTTCATTAGATTTTTTTTTAAAATTAAAATATCATTTTTAATAGACAAATCGCTAAATTTGCGTCTCACATAAATGTCCACTTATACGGTATCACGATTAACATTATTTTGGAATGAATACATCAGGGTGATGTACACTAATACTATATTTATTTTCTGACCTAAAGCAATACATTTTCTTCCTACAAAACTGTGACGTGCCAAGAATGCTATATGAATATATTTACTTCTTAACATATTTTTCATTTACTTTGCACTCCCCTCTCTCTCTCTCTCTCTCTCTCTTCTTCTTCTTCTTCTTCAGTACATGAAAGTGGCGACAATGTTCACTGTACAAAGTGTTGCCAACTTCAAATTCTGCCGATGCGTGACACATTTTTGTCTCCCTTTATCAAGAAAAAATAAACCTAGTCTCGGCATATATTGTTTCCGTGAACAATATGTAAAGATGGACGACAACATGTGAAATGACGGTAGATACATACTGTCGTCAACGACAATATGTGCAGAAAGATAATATGCAGCACTTTTTTTTCTCACTAAATAAGCATTTTATACTCCAAAGTCATTTATTCAACTGAATTGAATTAATCTTTTTTCCCTTAAGATATTTATGGATTTCCTATGCATCGTTTGAATACAAGGCAAAGGCGTACACTATAAATCATGTATATTGACACATTTTATTTTTGAGTTTTTTTTTTATTGAATGTCACTGACTTGGCGCAGTGGTTAGAGCGTAGCTGCTCTAGATTTGTAAAATAAGGAGTCGATCCTAACGTCGCGTGTTGACTGTGGAGACGTAAAACAGCAAGGCAATACAAAATTAAAAAAGACACTGAACAAAATGGATGCTGTCATGCTTAAGTACTTGTTTCAGTTAGTCGTTGTAAAACTAATGAAACTTTCATTACATTTTTTTTAAAATTTTCGGATCCAAAGTTAAAAAGGCATAGAAAGTTTAGAAGAATATTGTTGAATCTTACCCTGGAAATTGACCGCATAGATAAATTAAAGTAATATGGCCAATACTTCTTAAAATTTACAACATAAGACCGTATCTACAAATTAAGATACAAATACCGGTAACATGTAAGTTTTTTACATTCTGTAAGCAAGACATTCCAAAAGTGAAAAGCTAAATGTAGCTTTATTCATGAATGCATGAAGATCCAATCCATAGATATATTCACTCTTTAAGTGTTGGCATACATGCTGTCCGAAGTCAGACATTCATATACAGCATTGAAGCAAAACTCATAATCCTCCTGCGAGAAAATCAATATACATCTGTAAAATATGTTTTTTCATCCTTTTTAATAAATAAAATTTAATAACCATATATATTCTTACAGATTTTAAATGAGCTAATTACCTTTGTAGATATCATTTCCGGTCGGCGACATTGCAGTTGTTGTACTGTGGTTGAATATTGTATGTTGTTATCCAGCTGTAATTGTTCTATGGCGTTATACACAGCAATAAATACACCACAACATGATGCTCCGTCCATAGAAAAAAATAAATTCTACAAATCTGTTATCAACAAAACTTATTAATTCTTAAAGACAGAGGTCTGCCGTGACTTAGAAATAAGGGATCCCTTGGTTCAGTCTCAACCCTCAACTTTCACTTCAAAGTGCCGAGTGCTTGGCAAAGGAGTAGTGATACATACTTAGAAATAAGGGTTACAGGACCATCCGGGTTTGACTTTCTATCCAAGCAGAACTTTTTAATCAAATTTGATATCGAAGAGGGTTGAGATGGTAGAGGCTCAGACAAACTCCAATCAAGACATTCAATAACATGTACTTCATGAAATTCACCCTACCGGTTATTTACAAATAATTAGCACATTCCTTTTTACTGTTTTAGTTACTTTGTTTCTCTGGGAATTACTTTTTAAGGGACCAAAAAAAAAATATGAGATTTACCTTTCTGATCTCGAAAGACTTTTAAAAAGATTCTCATTCTAAAAATTTTATTTGAATTTCGTATTATATTTTACAAGCAATTGAATCTTCCAATAACTAATCTCTATGTTACCGACTTTTGTGTATATATCACAATGAAAAAGTCTGTTTCTTTTGATTTTAAAAATGTTATTCAATTTTAATTAAGTGTTGTCCTTGTTAAGGAGAGAAATTCTCAATAGTTATAAGACAACAACATAAGGAAAAAATAAACAATTATTCCCTTTAGTAAATTTTAAAGGACATTACCTCGTTAATTTCTGATAAAGGGTTCAGTGAGATCAAGAATGGAGACTCCTGATCAATCAGCAAACGAGCAAGATCAATAGCGGCTCCTGATACTGGAAATTGCGCTGAAATGAACTCCTCAGCTCTTGTAAACGACTAAAAATACAACAGAAAACAAATATATTAACTTCCTAACACTACTATTAAATAACTTTTAAACTGATAGAAGCATGTGTCAAATGGGAATTACCGAAATATTTACTGGATTGTAGATATTTTATCTAATATTTTCACAGTTGATGTTTTACACAAGATGTCTTTTAACATATATTTTTTTAAATATATAAATTTGTTAAATAAGGAAAAAATAAGATTTTTTATCCATGAAAATAAACAACAGGTTTTTGAGGAAAAATATATTATATTATTTTATTAAAATCATGTCAAACTCCAAAATTTTTTTATGCATTGGATCTAAAACAACATCATTACTGTTATATATGTTTTGAAATTCGGCGATGTACACGTGGCATTTAAATTTGTTACAAATCAATACATAGGACGACTTTACCCTTATTTTGGACTTTCAGTAGGGCGTGACTTTCTCGGTTGCAATTGAAATTGAGTTAACAATACCGGGTTCGACTTTATCTGATTTTTACTGATGAAAATAAAGGAATGAAGCACTTTATGTAACTTTTTTTCTGTTAATGGGTATATGTACATATATACAATAGTAAATTTTTCAGTTTACAAGCTAATCTTAAAACACTAAACCGTTCATTAGAGGATCTTCTTTAAACTTTCAGTGGCAGTGTTTCTATTTCCTTTATTTCATAGGTGCGTCTTTGATAGTTATTCTTTTCCTTTATTTTTCATGTAAACTACAAATTGGAAAAATTGACCAGATGTTGAAATGTTCTGAAGACTAATTTGTCCTGAAACGCTATTTCTGAAATCTGTTTTGTAATCTACACGGAACAGATGTTTCTTATCTGGAAAGATTAAACCATTTATTGACGATGCCTTCTGTTTTTTTTTTTTTTTTTTTGTTTTTTTTTTTTAGATCATTATATAACATTTATTCTATTAACGGCTTTCCCTTTCCATAAATATTCCAAACATAGTGAAATGTTACTTTTTAGATGACCAGGGCAGGGTATATATACAGCAATTGTTAGCGTGCCATAGTCAAATTCAAGGGACATGATGAGAAACATCTACATCTGTTTAACCGTAAGTAACCTGACTTCTTTCCTTTTCACCAAAATCTGCTAATTTTATGATGCGAAATATATTAGTTGACACTTTAAATCCATTTTGAAATAGATTATGTGCCTTTAAAGTGCTCATATCAGATTTTACCGTGGAATCATTTTAATTCGTTCAATGTTCATGGGTAAGCATCATTTTACCTGTTCGTGGGGACGGAATTTCGTGGGTTACTCGTAAACAAAACATTGTTTATATCCATCTTCTTGTGTTAACCACCATGATTCAATGAATCAATATGTTGACAAAATAAACGTTCGTGGGGATGTAAATTTGTGAAAAGGGTAACCCAAAAATCAACGGATGGTACCCCACGCACATTGATGATTCATAAAGTATTGTATATATATTCATGCAAAATACAAATATAGAAATAATCAATTTTGTTGTATTATGTTGGTATCTGTTATTTAAAAATGACTTAATGTATAAAATATAATAAATTATTATGTCCCTCGGAAGGATTTTCCCCTAATTATTACAGAGCATTCAACTTTTTTGATGACAGAGCAATCGTGTAATAACGTTTGCAAAACTTGCGTGATCTATAAGGTTAAGGCAGCAGGTTTGATCGTTTTAGTTTTCAATCCTGCGTGAAATCATGTCATAAGAATGTTAATGTTGTTCTGTAAGCATTCGTAGGAATTTAATTTGTTCGTAAGACAATTAGATTTCATTTACTGTTAACCATGTTAAAGAAAGGAGATGCCATTTATAAATTAAAAATCGAATTTATGATCGATAGTAAATGAAATATTTTCTCTTGAAATATCATAATGATAATAAGTAATTAAGTTTTTTCGCAATTTTCTCTATTAAACAAGAAACGTTTAACTTAACATGAAAATAATGCTTACATTAACGTTCTCTCGGTGACTAAATACAACCTGATTGTCGAGGTTACATTTAAAAGTATGTAAGGTTCCTACCTACTTTATTTTTATTTATATGTATTGATTTATTTATATGCTTTATTTGTTTATTAAATATAAATGGAAAGACTTCTAAGTAGCTGTCAGCGACTAGGATTTAAGAAGTGTGGAAAACCATGTTGTGCCAAAATAATTTTTACAAAAAGTGATATTTTTTAATTAAATCTTCCATTCCTTTTGCTTATTATCAATTTTGATAGAATCAAATCTCAATGTCTGCTAAATTCTTCTGACACCGACGGCATTTTTACGTATCGAAAGAAAAAAAAACAACTTATTTTTCTAATTTGGATAATAACACAATCTGAAATATCCCTTATGTCTCTTCAGTTTCAAACATTAGCATTGTTTTTGTTATTTCTATACAGTCCCTGAAACGTTCTACTTTCCCATTTTTCCGTTCGCTAACCGTTTGTTCATCGTTCGTTCAGCGTTCTTTCAACGTTCGTTCAGCATGCGTCCACCGTTCGCTCTCCGTTCAAAGTTTTACGTTCACCGTTCACTGTTCGCTCTTCATTCCGTATACTTTGCGTTCACCTTTCGTTCACCGTTCACTGATCGTTCAGTCTTCATTGTCATTCGGAACTCCGGAGTGAAAGGACTTATCTTTCTAATGGTAAGAATTTACACGTTTTCTTAATTAAACAACTAGAAAATCGTGTTTAAATAATATTTTTTTCATTGCAAAAAGTATTTACTATTTTTATATTTCTATTATTATAACTTAAATGTTAGTCTATCCATGAAATTTCCCTGGAAAGTAATCCATTAAGTACCTACAAGTATGTAGAACAATTGACTGATTGATTGTATATTGTTTAACGTCCCTCTCGAGAATTTTTCACTCATACAGAGACGTCACCGTATGCCGGTGAAGGGCTTTAAAATTAGACCTTTACTCGGCACTCAGGGTCATTGAGCAGTGAGGGATCTTTATCGTGCCAACGCCTGCCGCTGACACGGGGCCTCGGTTTTTAAGGTTTCATCCGAAGGACCCGCAACTTTCACTTCAAAGTGCCGAGCGCATGGCAAAGGAACAGTTGCTACCCATTTTAATGACTAGGTCGTTATAGCGGCCGAGATGCGAACTCACGACCTCCCGATCACGGACCGAGCGCTCTACCGACTGAGCTATGTAGAACGATGCTAAAATATTAAATTTAAAAAGAGCAATGTACAAATGCTTCAAGCACGGCAACATTTAGTTGTAATGTAAAAGACGACAAATCGTTAATTAATGGGTAATAATCCAGGTCTTTTACAAGATAAGAATGCACAAAAAATAATTCTAACACGTATTTAAAAAAAAATGCACCGACAAATTTTAGAACTACATGTAGGTCTGAGAATTATGAACAGTACTGCAGATATTCAGCTAATTAAATATCTTAAAAGCTAATTAAATTGATAGAGTGATTTTAAATTTTTAGAAAAGACCAACTGTATAAAATGTAATACATAACAATTTTTTCCTATTTTATGTTAAGTCTATTTTAAGAGAGGGAAAATCCCTACCTTCAACATACTTAAATATAGGTATAGGTATACCTCTCTCTCTCTCTCTCTCTCTCTCTCTCTCTCTCTCTCTCTCTCTCTCTCTCTCTCTCTCTCTCTATGTGTTAATTTCTTTGTTCAATAAAATCTATGACAGCACATTACTAATTTGGTTTTGAAAATTAAATCCATTACAAATAATTTATTGCCTTTTCCATCATCCTGTCCGAGTATTATCACGGTAAGCATCTACATATACATGTAGAAGTTAGCTCAAAATTTAACCATCATAAAAAAGTAAAAATGACGCATAAATATTTTATATTTTGCATTAAAATTTTAAAATACGAGTGCATTTACAATGTATGCAATACGTCAACAGACATTTGTAAATTTAAAAAAATCCGTTATTTTACTCAGAATCGCCTTGGTACGGATTTACATGTATGGTTGTTTCAATGGGGGTACAATGTAATCAATTCATTCTTTAAGTAGTAATTTTATCTTCTTCAGTCCACATTATTTTTTTAGTTAAAAGAAACATCATATTTACTATATAAGTAAATTAAACTTACATATATACTGCACGCGTTCGGTATAAAATACACATACACATACACAAATTGTATGTATGTGCAGAAAAAAAAAACGTTTTTATTATTTATTTATCTACTGTTTATTTATATTTTAGCACCTGAAATTAGCATTATAGAATAATAGAATAGTTCTCAAAGGTAAAGATCAGAGGCATTCCAAATATATATCGTTCGTATTTCGTTCATCGTTCGTTCACCGTTCACTTTGTGTTCGCGTTCGCGGTCGGTTCGCGTTTTGCATTCACTCACCGTTCACCATCCTCACATCGTTCACTAATTATATATAAATTACGTTCACCGTTCGCACATCGTTCACTCACCATTCGCTCTGGATTCGTTTACCGTTTGTTCACCGTTCAGGTGGGAAAGTAGAACGTTTCAGGGACTGTAACAAGTTGATAAATCACAAGAATTATGAAAATTATTTAAAATATTGAATAACAGTACGAAGCCCATTACCTGTTTGTTGTCAAGAACAACGTCGCAACCCTTGTAAATGTAGCTTCGTTTTCTTATTTCATATTTAATTGTTTCTCAGAAATAGAAAACTATTTTTTTCATCTGTGATAGTTTTTTAAATTTTGATCAAAACCTCGTTTAATATGTCACAGCAACATCACACACGTTTTGAAAAACACTGTTTAAAATGATATTTTGAATTCGTTATTCATTAGATTTTAATGAGACTGTTAATTTGCTGGACATTTGTATAGTATTCAAATGAACTCTTATTTCCTAGTGGATGTAATACTGTCCATTAAGTAGCAAGGGTATTTAACCGTCTTTTTTATACTGTCAAAAAGTATTTCAATCTTCAATTCATTTAAACAAGTGTCCTTTTTTTGCTCTTTTTACCCTGTGATCGCTCTGTACTGCTTGGTTCAAAAGCATCAATAAATTTGATGAAACTGTAAACTCTTCACACTAAAGAATTCTAATTCTATGGTATTTTTATGTTGTAAGAGTAAACTATAAGTCACATTATCCAACGATGGGGTATACGATGAGAAACCGATGCGTTTTTTGATGAAAATTGAATGGTTGCCGGAAAAACACCACTAGTGATCTGACGGTGACTGATTCTTTTTTTGCGAATCGGTGGGGTCATCAAAGGAAATAATTTAGTTAATATTCAAAATGTCTCCAACGATGCCTCAAATTGCTTTTCATCGGCAAACCATCATTAACACATCTTTCAAGGATCGGCCGATGTATGGCCGAGTATCGTCCAATATCCGTTGAATCTGAGGTCATCGGGGAGTTTAGGCATAGGCATAATCTGCCCTTAGAAGTTTGATAGAAAGAAATAATTATTAACAGTTGATTGAACTATTTGTAATAGACAAAAATATGCTTAGCATCATATAACATCAAAAATATGTATATGAATTCATTTATTCTATTATTTTCCCAAACGTTATGCCTAGGTCACATTTCCCGGCCGGTAGCCGTAGACCGGTGGTAATCGGTGGTAATGCGTGGTGTTAGCGATGTCCCAACATCGGTCCACATCGGCCTAGTAGTCCTTAAAGTATCAGTCACATTATTCAGCGATGGGTATACAATGGGCAACCAATGCGTTTTATGAAAAAAATGGCGTGTTTGTCGGCCGGACTTACAAAGGCCCAGCGATGCATTGCTAATCATAAAACAATGTTCCAGGATAATCGGCCGATGTATATTACATCGCTCATACATTGGTGAACATTGTTCGTACATCAGTCGACTACGGGCAAATGTTTGGTTGAACATCGACCGATGATCGGCCGTTATCTGTTGAACACCACTCAATTCCCCGATGACCTCAGAATCAACGGATATTGGACGATGCTCAGCCATACATCGGCCGATCCTTGAAAGATGTGTTAATGATGGGTTGCCTATGAAGAGCGATGCGAGGCATCGGTCGAGACATCGCTGAAATTTAACTACGAATTATTTCCTACCGATGACCCCACCGATTTGCAAAATGGCCTCAGTCACCGTCCGATCACGGGTGGTGTCCGGCCGGCAACCACGCCATTTTCGTCTTAAAACGCATTGGTTTCTCATCGTAACACCCCATCGCTTGATACTTGATAATGTGACTGATACTTTAGTAAACAAAAATGTTTAAATTCACGCATAATCTCTTGTCTTTGACCATTCTTCTTGCAGGATTAAGACAGATATCCTATATTTGAAATGAATTAAATATATATATATATATATATGTGTGTGTGTGTGTGTGTGTGTGTGTGTGTGTGTGTGTGTGTGTGTATGTGTGTGTGTGTGTGTGTGTGTGTGTGTGTGTGTGTGTGTGTGTGTGTGTGTGTGTGTGTGTGTGTGTGTGTGTGTGTGTGTGTGTGTGTGTGTGTGTGTGTGTGTGTGTGTGTGTGTGTGTGTGTGTGTGTGTGTGTGTGTGTGTGTGTGTGTGTGTGTGTGTGTGTGTGTGTGTGTGTGTGTGTGTGTGTGTGTGTGTGTGTGTGTGTGTGTGTGTGTGTGTGTGTGTGTGTGTGTGTGTGTGTGTGTGTGTGTGTGTGTGTGTGTGTGTGTGTGTGTGTGTGTGTGTGTGTGTGTGTGTGTGTGTGTGTGTGTGTGTGTGTGTGTGTGTGTGTGTGTGTGTGTGTCTATGTGTGTGTGTCTCTGTGTGTGTTCTGTGTGTCTGTTCTGTGTGTGAGAGAGAGGGTGTGTGTATGTGTACCGCTATATATTAAGCTCGACAAGAAATGTGTTTGGATGTTGAGTAGATAAGATAACTCAGACTCTACGGGTACTCTTGGGAAAATGTCGAGAAAATGAAAACTCAATCACAATTTTTTTTGATAATGCCTGTGACTTTAAAGATTTTGCTTTTCCGTGACGCAATGATATGTCCTAATAAATAACTCAACATTGATACCAATAGATAAAATTTTGATATGAAATTTTGAAGACCATATAGGTAAAGACTCGTTTATATTATTTGTGACATTTTGCCGGATTATGTCATTTTTCCGTGCAACAAGTCCACGTTATTTTTGAACGGCCCTCGCACACTATCAATAATCATATGTATTTGAAAACATTTTAATTTACATTCATGTATTCATTTTTTTCTCCCAAGGTTCTTTTGTCGCTGCATCTAACACAAGCAACTTGGGATTACCTTTTTTAGTAAGTATGAAAAATCTATTTATATTGTTTTTGGAATATTTTTTTTCTTTTTCTCATTTTTGGCAAAAGATAAATAAAGAAAAATAGCAATTAAAATTCTTATTGTCAAAAATAGGAGTTTAAAAGTTGGATAATATATCAAATATTATTCTCTGTCAGTGCAAGAGTCTAAAAGACCAGAACAATACACACGTGTGTTTGTTGTAAATGTTTAATTTTTGTCTCTTTAATGTACATAAATTAGGTCGGGCTGTTTAATGAAAAACAAACTGTTTAACCTTTTTTCTTACATGCATTACTACATGTAGCATCCAAGAAATATCAGTTAAAAATTGAAATAATCCATGTTGTTGTGTAATAATATAAATATTTTTCTTTCCCTTTCAGTAAGAGGGATTCCGAGATGCCAAAACAAGATAGATGGGTTATGATGTAAATATTGTTTTCTTGTTATTTTTTGTTTTGTTTTGTTTTTGTTGTTGAGAATGAAAAGTTATTTTCAAAATAGAAATAATCCAAGTTTTTGTGTAATAGAATATTTTTTCCCCTTCAGTGCGAGGGTTCTCAAGTGGCTAAGACAAGGTAGAGGGAATATGATGTAAATATTTAGTTTTTATTATTACTATTTTTAATTATGTTGTTGAAAAAGATGAATTGAATTTGGAAATAATCCATGTTTCTGTTGTAATAATATGTATTAATTTATTTTTTTCCCTTTCAGTGCGAGGGAATCAGAGAGGTCAAAACAGGATAGAGGAGTCATGATGTAAATATTGATTGTATCATAATTTGTTGTTGATGTTGTTGCTTTTGAAAGGAGTTTTGAATTCAAAACGGAAAACAAGTTATCCATAGTTTTTCTTCTTTTTTTTTAGTTTTCTTATATATTTATTTTATTTATTTATCTTTGATGTTGTTATCGTTCTTAAAAAAATAATAAATACTCAGCTATGTTAAGGACTGATATGGAAAATGTGACCTTTGCACCGTTTTAATATGTATTACTTCTTTTTAAAAAATTATAACAAAGCAACTGAATACTTGTAGAAAATGTGATATTGCTCTCAATAATGGATAGGACTGGACCGTAGTTATTACCAATTACATCGCATATATTAGCGGTTTGATATTGCTATCAATAATGGATAGGACTGGACCGTAGTTATTACCAATTACATCGCATATATTAGCGGTTTGTCATGTGGTTTGTATAAAAATAGAATTGTAAAGCTGAATGTAGGGAATTGGGATAGTGCAAAGGCATACGCTTGTTTTTCAAGAAAAAACTGATATTTATTAACATTTAAAAAATATGTTTATTTCCTCTACCCAAAAAGTGCTAGGAGATAGTCAGTGCTGTTAACGAAGTACGGAGAATTTTGTCGAAAATGCTAATAATAGCTAAAAATTTCCACTTCGCTTAAATTCTTTTATAAATGAAAGTAACGTTGTGCAGACCAGGATTAGCTCCCAGCACTTTTCAAAATATAAACTATCTGAGCAATAAATATTCCAAATTTCAGCTCAAACAAAATATTCTATGCCCTTGAACTTCTGTAAATCGCGAATACGCTCATCGTTTTAGCGATCTTTTCTACATTCCTTGTCCCTGTGCACCACTATTGCTGCTAGATAAATTCAGAGTCTATATAAATTGTATTTGATCAATTATTTTCTTTTAGTTTTAATGATTAGGTTTAAAAATTAGCCATGGTATCATATTTATTTAAGCATTCTTGTAATTATTAAACCAGTGAATCTAGCCCTCTGGATCACATGTGCTGCGTCATGTCAAGGCTGGTGACGACATCTTCGACGAAAGACTTTCTTCTATTTCTCGACTGTATTGCTTTCAAGTATTGCAATTTTAAAAGATATATGAATAATCGATAAAATAAATAAATTCAAGTTGTTATTTACGCACGATCTTGTCCTTAATTAATTCATATGACTTGTTAAATTTCAATGACGTTACAATTAAACTTCCAAGTGTACAAGGAATGTGAACTTTGACCTTCCTTAACATAGCTGAGTAGCAAATACTCAATTTTTAATTTGCCATTTGTGTGTACTTCATCTTGAAACCTTTTTTAAAGTAATTTTTTATGCAACGATACAACATTTTTTTTTCGTTTCAGAGCGAGAAAAGCCAGACTGTTGCCCATAGTAAGCCCCTGATGAAGAAAGTGAAGTTAGTTGACATGTCGGGCGTCCGGTGTACAAATTCAATTTTTTTGGATGTTGACTGTCCCAATGCTATTTACTGGATATTAAAAATAAATTCATATTTACAATGCACTGTGTCAACCAATGAATTTGTATGTGCTTTAATTATTCTAACCAAAAAAAAAAGAAATATTTTAAACCAAATTTTAAATATCAATAGATACATGTATACAGGAATATTTTATGTGGAAATTATCGACAATATATGAATGCATGAGGTACAACGTACCACATTTTAAAAAGTGTTGGCATTAAATATTAATCATTTAATTTCTTGTGTAAAGTGATGTCTAATTTTAGAAGAATTATTGATATCGGTATACCTGCCAACGTTAAAATGATTTGCATAAAGAGGTGTTTATCCTCTTATCGTTACAATTTAAAATATGTACCACTCATAGACAATTTTGATTAGAAATCGTCTTTTCTTTTTCTGAATGTAATATTGGAAATTAAATACAGATATGTGACTTGTTAGTTTTTAAGTACATGTAAGTTCAAGTAGAAAGTCTTACTTCACAACTTTTAATTATATTTAATTTTTATGACATTTTTGAAGAAGGATATGGAGATAACGAACAGTATTCAATTTCAAAGTCCATAAAACAATATAAAATAAGAGCACAGCAAACACGGACCCCCGAAACATCAGAGGTGGGATCAGGTGCCATGGAGGAGTGAGCATATCCTGCCGACCGGTCACACCTGCCGTGTGCTCCTTGTCATGATCAGGAAGTAACGGGAAAAAAGTAAATACGTATATCGTTCAAGATTCAGTAAAGAAACTGAAAATATATTCAAGAGCAAAATTTATGGGGGAATACTAGTATTTTTTGTGGTGGAAGGACATTTCGCAGACATTTGAATTGGCTCACATGTTTTAACTTTGAGAACATTTTCCGTTATGATATATTTGTATGTTAGAAATATTACATATAGGTCTCAATTCATATTTTTATAACACCAAACGCTATGGAGTCCACTGGTGAAGCCACGCCACGGATTGATGATATTGAGATCGGTGATAAAGGGGTAAGTAGTTAGGCTTGCACATGAAAAATCAGTTAAACAATATAATAAAAGTATGATATTGTGAGTATGACTAATTACTACAAAATTCCATTGGGTTTTATGGGCATACACATGCTACGAAGCTTTTCAATCCGAATTTCCTCTAAATTTACGGAAATCAAAAATAAAAGTCGCAGTGCCTTTGACGAGATTATCTGCAAGCAATTAATCATAGACTGGGGTGTAATGAACAAAACGTAATAATTAATCCAATGCAATAGTTGATTTTATGTTAATGAATCTGGTGTAAATATTTTTTTAATGCGAAAGTTCTTAAAGTTTTTAAAAACTTGTGCAGAAAAATGAATTTGTGTATGTACAAAAAATCATTTGAAATAGCTAAAATAATTATGATATATAGGAGAGAGGATCTGTGCTTGAAAATATGCATACATTTATTTTAAAACTTTTTCACTACATATTCTTTTCCTTGTTTGATGAATAGCATCTTCATAGTGGAAAATTGTGTATACAGAGTAGTTTGTATGTCCTTATCTGCAGATATGTAGCTCTCCGAAAATAAATATATTGATAGACTGGAGAGCTACAGTGTCACCCATGAAAAAAACTGTATATTTATTGCACACACAAAAGTGTGCTCGGTTCTTGATTAATTCTTCCAAATTCTTACCTCAATTGCAAACATGAAAAGATTTTAAAAAAAAATTCCTTTATCCTCAAATAGGTCTTCTTGAAGTTGACATCTGTCAACGAAGCGTATTGGACCGAATTATCTTTGAAACTAAAATGGCAGTATAAATAAGCGAAATGTTCTATGACCACAATATCAGGGTCAGGAGGAGCTATTAACAACAATATGAGGAATGTTTGGTTGCGGAAACAGCGAACGAATATGTTAGGAACACATGGTTGAAAATTTGAGATTACAGTTTTTAAAA